AGAACCTTATGAAATGGTAGCATATGTAATATACAGAGGGGTAGGTTTGGTCACCAAACTACTACATTTTTTTTAATAAAATACAGATCTAGTTGTACATATTATGGCAGCTATGAAAGACAGTAATTAATAAAAAATAAATACACACCACCCTCTTAGTCTCATGATATCATATAAAATCAAGCAAGTGGTATTAAAGTCAATCCCAATCTGTAGTAAACTTGAGTGATTGTAAAACTAGGATAAAAAAAAATTCAAACCATATATATAAGCACTTATATGATATAGGTGGTCTTTCGTGAATTGAGAGAGCACCTTAAAATACTTGGGGTATTAATGTATATTATATTGTGCTCTCTTGTTGGATTTGTTTGCTCTCATTATCTTTGGTGAGATACTTACCAGCAAAAAATAAGATTTATTGTGGTTCTGTCTTGACTTTCTGAGGAACTTGTATTCAAGTTCCAGTAAGTATTTTTTTGTACTAAATTCTAGGATGTAGACACCAAATAGATTTCACAACCCCAAGACACAAAAATTTTCTCCCTAAAATTCACTTCTAGATTTATGACTCTAGGAGATCAAAATATAGTATGTTTCTCAAAAAAAACTTCTAAATGTACAGATCTTAGAGGCCAAAAAGTCACAATTTAAGTTTGTAGAAATGAACAAGTTACCATTGTGTTCTAAAAATTTTTAAGGAATGTGGTGAGAGAGCTATGGCATTTAGGAGATTCTTGGTCACTTGAGTTGGGAGCTCTTTGTCTTCTTGCTAGCTCAAGTTGATGCAAGTCACATGTTGGGTCCAAGAGTTATTTCCTTTATACCTCAAAATAGCCTTTTTTCTTCTTCAAGATTCACCCGTCTTCCTCAATGCTTGGATGATACAGATGCACCACAACTCACAACTTCTGCCATACATAATGGGTAGTTCATTAAACTAGATCCATGATTCCTCAATGGTTGGCCTAATGGGTAGATTCACTAAACGATAATGTTGCACCTAATGGATAGGTTTTTTTATCCAAAATATTTTTGATGAGCTAGATACTTTGTTAAATTCATTTGCATCTATTGTATAATAAAATACATTCATTTTTCTAGCATCCAAAGGCATAAAAATGTTATGTTTGCTCATTATGAGTATCATTAATCTCCTTAATGTCATAAAATCCACTTTTAATGGCTTTTCGTTTATTATAATCTTCAGCCTAAATAAAAAATTTATCCTTGCTTTCCAATATTTTTAATCTGAGCCCTTCAACAATAGTGGTGTCTCTCTAAGTTTGATCCTAAAATGCATACCATGGGGATTATTTATTCCTCAAACATAGCAACTTCCTATGGATTGAACTTCGGTATGATACCCCTGATTAATACAGAACCACATGGTACAAAGAGGGGGCTGAATTAATTTTCTTTAACTTAATTGATTTTTTTACTTATAAGGCTATTCAATTATTTCACTCACAAGATTTTGTAATCTTCTAATTACTGCACTCTCCAAGAACAACATTCTTAGGATCTACTAAATTCCTAGTAAAATATACACACAGTTGAGGTTTCAATCATCTTCATTGATTTTAGTAGCTCCATAATTTCACATAAATATCATATATTCATGGCCGTAGAGGACAAAGAAAGAGTAGAAACCTTACACTCTTCTACATTCATAACTCTTGAAGGGCAACGAGTTTTGCACTTAGCTGGCCCTCAAGAGATTTTTAGGCTTTAGATTAGCTAAAATACAAAATGTACTCTCAAATAGAATATGAAATTTTACCAATTTAAATGTTTAAGCTTCTTCAAGCTTCCAATAGTGTTAAATATTTTCCTTGAATCATGAGCGAAGCTTTTTTATAGAGGTGAATGTAAGGACTTGACTAGCAGCTACATCTCTTTTTCTGGGTGCTCATGGATGATGATTTCTTGCATGAACTCTGTGGAGGATAAAGGTGGATATTATGGCGCTCTCTCTCTCTCTCTCTCTCTCTCTCTCTCATTTCCTCCCCTCTTGTTCAACTCTATTGTTGGCTTAAATGCCCTTTTTATATACAACATATTGGGATATCTAATGGTTATTTCAAATAGCAAAAAAATAGTACATTTAGGGTGTCATTAGAGCCTAAATTTTGAACTCAAAAATTATTTTGTAATTTCATAAAAATCATAACATATCAAAATCCTTCAATTTAAATACATTTTGTTTTTCCATCATGTTGTTATTTCAATTATATTTTCGTAACATAGTTATACTTGCTAATTCTCCTAATTTGATTATTTGATTTAATATATGTTAGATTCTAAGCTGCACTTAGTTCAAAAAGAGGTGTTGAATTGATTAGGTTCTAAGTTAATTTTATTCAAGTATTTTAATGTTATTGATTTTATCCTTTCCAACCCAAAATTCATTTGGCTATCCAAAGTTTAAATCTAGTGTACTCCAAGATTTTTGTAGTGATTCAACTCCCTACCAATGTCTACACTCCAAGAACACTATGTCATTAATTTTCTATAAATCAAGTGTTTAATAAATAACCACTGACTATTGGGTATAATCTTTACATAATTGTATTGTATAATTTTCTTCTAGATTCAAAGATCTAGATGACCTTCTTTTAACTATAAGGATTATATTTCTTGAGTGATTAAATTGAGATTTAGTCATAAGTGTGGCTATAAAAATGAGTAGAGGTTTCATTATAAGATTTTTTGGTATTTCATGAAGACCTGAGTTGTGTCCATAAATTTAGTAAAAAGGAAGTCAAATTTCAGCTTGGTTTAGTTCATACTCTTCATGCCACAAAGTTATCAAACTGATGAGGATGTTAGCACTTCAATTAAGTTGATGACGATCACATTTGAATCAAATCTTGCTCATCATTTTGATGTCTTTTTACTATTTCACCAAGCTTTAAAGACATCTCAATTTTAAATGTAATTCTTTGAGCAAATGGTGTAAAATAAACTAGAGATAAAAAATAATTCAAAAAGGATTCTTCATAACTCATTACATATTCCAGATAGGCTAAATTTATATAGAACTCCAATTCGAAAACCATCCTTATTTTCTACGATTGCTCAATATTATAATTTCAAAATAAGTGAAAATTTTGAATGGTTAGAAATCAATACAATATGTCCTTCAAAGTATCTATAACCATTAAGTAATAATGTATATGTCTAATGCTTATTGGTTTAGACAGGTTTGCTAAAAAATATTATCATTAAAATAGAATTGAGAATATATCTCTCCATAGAGTTTATATTCAAAATTAATCTAGATGACATCCACTAAGCCATAAATATAAATAAGACCCATTGAATAATGATTTTAGTATAATCATCATTACTATGGTGGCTTATGATATTTCAAAATTATTTTTGAATTGATATTTATCAATATTCAGAAAATTTGAAGTAGCTACATAAATAGTCTTGATTCAATGAATTAAGCCTTCATCAAGAATGATTGAAGGTAATGATTTTAAATTATATACATCCAAGTATATTAATATTTTAATTTCAAGGATACAAGTGCACCAACTAAATTTTCATATTAATATTTTACTTTAATAACTCTCACATATGGTATGCTAATCATTACTTTCTATTAGTGACGTTTTTTGTAAATATCAGTATTTTTTCACAGTAATAAAAAAACTAATTATTTTGAGCAATAATCCATTAAAAAATTATTACTTTATGTAATCAATAAATTTATACTCAATTACTTTTGTACTCATGTCTAAAATAATATTCATGTGTATTTCATATGCAGTGAATAATCAGCATAATTTGGTTCACTCATTTATCTTATGTGTGTTGGTAATCATCAGAACTAAAATTAATTGATGCTCCAAAAATGCACATTGATTTTCACTGTGCATAACATAAATTTATCATCATTAAAATATTCAACACTCTCCCCACCAATAGAATGTAGTGCGGCAAACTCTCTAGGAGCATGCTTAATTTTGTCAACCAAGTATGAAACCTGCTAGTGTTATTGTGTTTTGGGATAAGTGGATCACACTTTGATGGATTTTAAAAGCATATAAAAATATTGTCCCAATTAGAAATTGCCATGGACTAATTTTTTATGATTTGGATGGTTCAAAGTCTTGTCATGACATATCACCTATCTTCTCTATAGTGTTACCTAATACAAAGCTTTGTTTGCTGATGATCTGAGGGTGCTTTGCTTTACTTCTTCAATGGAAACCCTCTTTCTATAAATATAATATTTTTTTGGGTAGAAAGAGTCAAGTTATGACACTTTAAAATGGAGTTCAATAGTTCCATAACCAATTATTTTCACAATTTCATGAGCTTTTCAATACGTATGATCCACTTGATTTGTAATAGCAAGGGTCTATGCAGAAGGGTTTAAAATCTGCATTAGTTACATGATTTATAATTATATAAGTTTTTAAATAAGTATTAGTTTTAAATAATACTAAGTTTTTTAAATAATTTATATAATTAGTATTAGTTACATGATGAAGGAAATGAATAAAATCTGGCACTTCGATAATTTTGAAGAGCGACAGAAGAAAATTAAAATAAAAAAATTGTTGAAATTGGTTTTAGATCAAATATGAATGAGATTCTATCGGAGGAAAATGATGGAAAAATAAGTAGAAAATTAAAAAGGGATCGAGAAGAGAAATTCAGACCCTAACCGGCGTGAGCCGAGCCATGACGGTCCAGAAGACATCCTTCAGAGTTGCCGTTGGTGAGCTGGCGACAGGCGTTACAAGGTACCAGGAATGAGAACGCTCGCTGTCCCAGACTTGTCTTGGCGAGAGGAGTCGAGAAGCCGCTGCATTCCGCGGCTTTCGGCGGCGGAGGCAAGAGTTGGAGATCTCCTGCGCCAGCCCGGTGGATTCTGATTGATCGATTCGTTGAATTTTGAAGCTTGCCTTGCTGTTGATATTTGCGTGGTTTGAAGGAGGATTTGGCCCAACTCAGATCGAGTTCTAGCTGGGTCAAAGGGAATGGACGCCCTCAGGAAGCAGGCCAGTAAGCTTAGGGAGCAGGTAGCAAAGCAGCAGCAGGTAAGCCTGCAGATCTTATTCAGCTGTCCGCGATCCCTTCTCCAAGAATCTCTCTGTCTCTAGATTCTCTGTCTCTCTGATCTATTCTTGGTACTTTGACAAGTATCTACTTACCCTTCGGTTACGCAACATTGAACGTCGCCCTCTGGGTTGGGCTTACGAATGGTACTATATATTCGATCGTTCGCTCTTAATGCCGAGCGCAATGGCCGTTACGGATCAGCAGAGAATTCCTCTTCCATCGATATGCGATGGATGCATGATTACAAGGGACAAATTTTGGACAAATTAGAGGACCCTACTGAAACGTTTTTCTATTTGGAATTTCTGTCATACCTAGTCACAAATTAGAGGGCCCTGTCGTCAAAGTCTGTGTCTCTCTGTTTCCAGAAAGGGAATGCGAGGAAGAGAACCATTACCTGTAGTGGGTGCCTGGCTCGAACACAATCTCCAATATTATCTTCAATATATGAATTGTGTACATGTGATCAAGGTAATAACGGACTGCAAAATTTGGCAAATGGTGTAAGATGATCTCTATGTCATGATTTTATCTCTTTCAGGCTTTTATGTTCAGAGTCAACGCAACAGACCAGAGAATTGAAGAGCAACCAGACACTTTTGCTTCTTGGGGTCTTTGTATTTGCCATACTGATTTCGGATTGGCATGCGCTGATTGGAAATTCTGGAAAAAAGTAACTTTTTATGGAGGTCAATACATAGGCACAGTGAATAAAGTAAAACTTTTAGGCTTGATAATGTCTGACTGTGTACATCACGCCCATTCTTTTGTTTCATGGAAGATCTTTGAGGGATCATGTTGAGATGGGCCCAGAATGGGTTACTCATATGACAGCCAAGAGCTCTATGACCTTCACCCATAAAGTCTATATGCCTTTCTAGCCATGGATGAAAAAGTCTATAGCAAAGTGCTCTTTCACTATCCAAAGTCATTTGTCTCTTCATTTGGTCCATCAAATAGAATTCGGTATAGCAGCCAATATCATCACTTTTCAGATTTTCAGATTCCTTCTCTGACCATTGGAGTACTTAGAGATTTCTTTTAGACTTGAAAAATATTATTCTAAATTTTCGAATAATCCTGTTATTTAATCACCTTAGTTCATTAATGAATGTAGAAAATGAGTACACAAGATCTGGGCACAAAACGTGGCGGCCATCTTGTTTAATCCAAGTTGGTCTCCATTTATTATGATTAACTTGAAGTTCCATTTGTTCCTCATCCATGAACGAAAACTATAATAGTAAAACAATTTCGAGGCTGTTTACTAGTGGAAGTATATTGTAAACTATAATACTGTTAACATCATTAATTTGATTTAATGTGGATTAAGAGACAACATTTCAGGTTTCAGAGCTAAGATGCTACTCGTATTTAACTTTGCATTAAACGGTCAACCTTGTATGGTCATTTTCTGTATTCAAAGACTGACCTCTTGTGTGGTCATTTTCCAGCCTCTTATGATCGGTGATTTTTTTACTAAAAATAGAAAATATTTCGTTGTTGTATGAAAGATGTTTATCATCCAACCTATTGATGATGTTTATCATCCAATCCATCAATAGAAGAGGCTGTTTCTTTCTGCAATATTCAAATCCCACTTTTTGCTTTAATATGGATATTTCTCACTTAAATGTTTCAAAAGAACTTGTGTGGTTTTTGATTTGCACTTTTCTTAGTTATTCTACAGTTTACCTTCTAACATAGATACTGGGAATGATTGACAATTATCTTATTACAGGCTGTAATAAAGCAGTTTAGTGGAACTGGCTATGAAGGATCTGATGCGATTGTTATAGATGAGATTGAGTTACAAAGACATCATCAACTTGAAAAACTTTACAGGTCAACTCGCTCTGGAAAGGTATGTCCATTCTTATGAACTGGGTTGTACATGAAACAAATGTTTTATGAGTCTCGTTACCAATATCAATCTTGCAGTAACTGATTGCAGAGAAAATGCCATATTTGAGATGGCTTTCAGTCAGAGAATACTTTGTTACTTTTCCAACTCGTATCTCAAATACGATGAGTACCTTCTAGACATATGTACCGTATTATTAACTTTTTCTAATTACTCACTGTCCGGTGTAAGTGCCTACGAAAAGCTATGGCCTGGTCCGATTGATTAAGTGGAGGACCCTGTCTTTGTTAGAGATTCCAATTCTTTCACTTTTACATTTTTGCTATATAATTGTCATATTATGAGTTAGATACTAAAATGTGCTTCATTTGTTGTTGTCTTTGTGCCACATCTTCACATCATAGTTCTCCTTAATATTGCTTCAAAACCAAAAGGATGAGAACTTTCAGAGACTGAAATTATGCTAATCAGTCAGATTTTTATGGTACCTTATCCGTTTTATTTAACTATCATATGACGAGATTCAGAAGGAAGACAATCCCTCATACTCTTCAGAAGGTCCCTTGTGCAGCTGTTTTCAAACTGAAAATTTGTTTAAATTACATACAGCAACCATAATATGTGCTGGATTAGACTAGGCATGGGAATAGCTTCAACTCCAATCACAATGGAGTGATGCGTACTACAAAAGAAACCCTGGTTCTCTAACCAATGCCACGGGGCATCCTATTTCAAAAATGTGGATTCTTATGAGCTCGTCCTCTTCTAATTTGTATCCGGAAAATAAATAAGATGCTTTAATCATAAACTTTTTTATGAAAAAAGAAACAAAGTGTTCCTTAAATTAAATACAGAATCCGGCCTAACCATTTTTCAAAATACACCTAAATTATTCCTTGAGTGCTATTTTGATTGATAATTTCAAATGGATTGGTATAAATTTATGTACGTTTCTTGAAATTGAAAGAACTCAAATATCGGCTGAAGAAAAGGGCCCACAAAATGTTTCATTGCAACTTCTGCTTTTCTGCATCCAGTCATACATCCAATTATGTTGGAGCTAGAGCTTTAAAACATCATGTTAATTATAATCAGAATCCTTTGGTCATACCAAAGCTTATCTTCATATTGAAACAAATTATAAAGATTGAAATGAATTTATTTGGAATGTTGTCTTTTGATAGTTAACCATCCTAAAATGTTCTCTGAACAAGTCATGTTACAGAGGATCGGGAGATAATTGCATGTGCTAGGATAGCTCCCTCATGACTCCTACATGGTCAAAGATGACAAATTTATTTCTTGGACACAGAGATGCTGGATTTGTTCTTCATATGGTTAAGTCCATCATTGGATTACCCATTAACGCAAGGATGTGATGTTCTTTTGTGATGAGCAGCATATTATGAAAGATTTTAATGAACCAATGCTGAAACTATGACAGCTGCAAGTTTGCGTTTCTTTGTGTTTCAGAGTAGGAATGCATGTTATCTATATCCTATGTAATTTTTATTAATAAATGAGTATTGATGGTGTGCCTACTTGTTCAAATTCTCCCCATCATTTAACCTTTTTAACTTTAAATTTATGTCAGGATTTTCAGAAGGATATTGTTCGAGCTGCTGACGGATATATAGGACTGGGCTTGAGACACATTGAAGTAGGTGTGTTTTATTTTTCAACTGTTTGTAGCTTCCATATTATGTTCGTTATTAACATTTCTAATTTGATTATGAACTCTTCTTGGTCATATAAACTGAAAAGTTTACCATCTTACCTAATTACAATCTGTTGCTCCGTAGGAATGAAGTTTTCTGAGGACTGTTGCAAATATGGAAGTGAACATGTTGATAATGGTGATCTAGCTAAAGCAGCTTCATTATATGGCAGCACACTGTCACATTTGGAAAAGGAATATGAAGAGTTCAACAGGATCTTATCGTCTCAGGTCTGCCTTATCTTTTTCACTGCAAGTTTATGTCAAAAGCAGAGTTGCACTGAAACCTATCAGTGTATTTATATTTACTTACCATCATGTGGTGAAAGGCCCTACAGCCTTAGTCTCTTCCCTCCCCTTCAGTGCTTGCTCATATGGCATCACTATGAGTTTTCTGTCCATGATGTTAGCATTATTGTATTTGATGCAAATTGCTCTGATTTCCTCCACAATTTTTTCTTAGATTACAGAGCCATTAAAACAAATGATAATGGGTACCCCGCTGGAAGATGCTCGTCATCTGGCTCAACGTTACAGTCGAATGAGACATGAAGCAGAACTCCAGGTAAAGAAACGTCTGGTTAGGAAATGGGTGCTTATGATTGCTGCCCGTCTGACTTCTACTGATTTTTTTTCTCAGAACTTCGGATTTTCTGTTCCTTGTATAATTTACTCAGAGATGTTTAACAGGTTGCTGAATTATCTAGAAGGCAATTACGAGTAAGGGAAGCCCCCATTCCTGAGAACACTTCCAAACTTCAATTATCTGAAGCGAAAATGCATGAACATAAAGCAAATATGGCAGTTCTTGGGAAGGAGGCTGCAGCTGCATTGGCTGCTGTGGAATCACAGCAGCAAAGGCTAACTCTTCAGCGCCTAGTGGCATTGGTAGAAGTTAATGTGGATAAATAATTATCTAGCCACTGTTGTTATTTTTTCCCCTTCTTAATCTATTTATATATGCTGCAGATTGAAGCAGAAAAATCATTCCATTTAAGATTAGCAGCCATATTAGATGGAGTAGAAGCGGAGGTAGTTTTCTCTCCATATTTGTATTTCTCCATAGTGATTGTAAACTTTCTGTGCCTGATACATGTAATGTGCGTACAGGTTATATCTGAGAAACAACGGAAAGATTCTGCCCTTCCTATATCTCCTAATACATTTCGAAGCTGTGTGAATGAAGCCTTGTTCTTTCTCGCAGAGGTGACTTCCTTTTCTCTGAAGATTAAAATCGAGTTCCCCGTTTCAAATAAGAAAACATTAAAATGGAGTTCTCCAATCGTTGTTCCAAACTTGGTTTTATCTATTTCAACCCAGTGTAAAATATGGATCTTACTTCGAATTCGTGATTGCAGGCAATGCATCCATTTGAAGCTACAGCAACGAATGAGCTTGATTTGAATGTCGGAGATTATGTTGTTGTTCGTCAGGTCTGTCCATTTTCTTGAATTCAAGTTTATGTTTCTTAGAAGACATGAAAGGCAATTGCATTACTGTACTTGAGTACATTTAATTGTGCTTAATAAGTGCGTTCATAAGTAGAGCGTTATATTGTAGTTTTCTAATCTCTTTTACTTTCCTTAAATTAAACTGTATGCATGCTAGTCTGAAAAACGAACAGCAAATATCCTCGAGATGGTACAGAAATTTTTAACTTTCCAACTGACCCCAATTTAGGAAACTAACTTTCTAGATGAGGCTGCTGATATTTTGTTTTGCCTTACGTCACTAATTAGTGTCCTGATCATCATTTAGTTAGAATAGCTGTAAAGTAGGATCATCAAATTATGACCTGCTTGAATATCCAGCAGGATTGATTGGGGAGATGATTGGATAATCCAGGGCGAGCTAATTAAAATTGTGAAAATAAAGGAAGAACATTTCCTTATTGCTATTTCACCCTATTCAAACCATCATCTCGATTCCTGATTTAAATTAGCGTAACACTATTTTTACTACCTAAGCAAACTATCATTAATCTCAAAAGAAAGAAGGGAGACTATTAATTGAAAAGGCTACAATTTGTCCTCAAGTAATTAAGGTTGAATGACTCCTCATCCGCAAACCAATCGTTCATATTAATTCTGGTTACGAATGAATAGAATGGAAAATATCAGCATTTTTATCACTCATCATAAGATAAGACCAGCTAATTAGAAACCTCTTCTTTTCGCCTAATATTACCAAGTACAAACAAATTGAAAGATTAAAAGTTGGAGATGCGACTTTCTGAAATTGACAAATGTTATCAGGAGTTAAATATTTCTCCAAAAACATTCTCGTTTTTCTTCTGAAGTAACTTGGAATATTCTATATGTTGTTCTCCTGGCTCACCAGTTTCATACCAGAAGCTGTCTCTAGGGTATGTCTTTAGCTTTCTAGCCTAAGGATATCATATCATCCTGATAGAAACGCTTGAGAAAGAAGAAACAAAAGAAAGTGAAATATTCTCAAAATAAGACATTATCATCACTGTAGGTTTTATCTTCAAAACTTTCTCATACTTATTTACAACGAGTAAGAGAACCCTCATTTTTCTAAAAATCTTTCCCACCAGTTTCACTTATGTCTCCATTCCAAGGATGCTTGTCTCCGTGTTTTATTTTATGACCCTGATGCCCATGGCTGCCATTCACACACCTCAAATCAATCCTTGAAGCTTTGTCGATCAAATACGCTATCAGGGTGGAGATAAGCGCCTGCCTATCTCAAATCAGGTAATGAAACCAGCTGTCATATGATTCATCCAATACTTGGCATATCTTGTAGCGGTAACATGTCTGGCAAACATGGGTAACAAGCAAGGCCCACATTAAGAAGGCATGCTTAATGAAAGATGTATCTACCATCACATTAAGAAGATGCATCTCCACAAAACGCAGTGTGTGGTTCTGGATTCTATTATCACTCTTGGACGCCTTAAGATAAAATATCAGGCCAACAGGTGACCTTGTCCGTTTTGAAGGAGTATCTTGTATCTTGTATCATGTATAAAAAATTTCTTTGAAGGCATGCTGTTAGGCAAGGAGCCTCTAAACAGTACTCACTCTTCGCTTCCTGTGAAGGTGGTGTCTAGTTGATGTCAGTCAACATCATGTTATGCCGAGAAGCGTATGAAGAGAGTACTCAGTCTTGCTTGCTGCTTGTGGGGCAATTTATATAATGTTAGGAGGACCCTTCTAAGAATACTCCTGTCTAACAAAGAATTGCGAAGATGATCTCCAATTCACAACACCCATCATTTTGAATGCATGGTCTTGTTTCTAGTATGATTGAAAGTACAACCTTGCGTACATAATTATTTTTTTTTTATCAATGTTGATAGTTTACTGGCTACGGCTGACTGATAGTGAAGCATGTAATCATTGACCTGCTATGGCTGGACTTGAGATATTCTAGTTATAGAATAGAAATGGAACTTAAACAAGTCGAAAACTAGTTCTCAGAGACTCTCAAGCAAAACAGTTCTAGAATTTGTTTCTTTCTTCATTTTTGGTACTAATAGAAATATAATTTGACAGAATCATACGCGTCTGTCAATATCATTGAAGAATTGTCATGTGATTCCTTTGACTTATTCACATCCTTGTGGGATAGTCACTTATGTTTAGTTCTTTCAACATACTCAGGTGACTCCAACTGGGTGGGCGGAAGGAGAATGCAGAGGCCGCGCCGGGTGGTTCCCGGTGGCCTATGTTGAGAGACGACTCAGCACGCCCATCAGTAAAGCAGTGGAAGAAGCGTATTAGTCTTGCCAAGACATGTCCTCTACTTCTGGGCCATGAAAACATGAGACTTGTCGTGATTAAAATGCTCTCAGATTGATTGATCTACCTTGGACAAATCTACTAGGCCTCGGGTTGACCTCCATCCCGCTTCCAGTCATGTGGGAGTTGCACGAATTCATGTAGCCGTCGTGGTCTATTATTGCCTTATATATCATGCATCAGGTACCGTTCTGCTTGTGCTTCCAGTTCATTTGGAGGAAAGCTTTCTCCATGTTTTCCAGTCACTTCATCTCGATTGCTCTCCTCTGAATTTGACCTAAAATGTCATCGATATCCACTTCTATTGGGTCATCATCACAGTGAAGCCTGATTTCTTCCGCACTTACCGTTGACTAATTGGTAGCATGTATGGATGAAAGTTTGTCTTCTTCCACAGATAGTAATCTGTGCTTTTCTCAGATGTAATGTGCTTTCTATTTACCAGGTGGCGCTATTTTTGATTAAATAAATTGAGGAAAATTATTATTTCACGAGAATAGAAGAAAATTGAAGAAAATTATAATTATAATTCACAAGGAAAATTGAGGACTACTATCACCCATTTTTGATTAACAACTGCTTACTGTTTCAGCAAGCCAGACTTTGACTCTTGGTAAAGGGCAGCCCAAATTTGTCCATGCAGGCCCACGAGGAGATGGCCAGGGCGTTGACTTAGCTCCTTCTGCAAGTGGTTCGGTCAATGGTTTGACTAGCCGTTTCGGAGAGGAGAAGAAGATGGAAAAGTTGCACTAACCACTAACAAAGGAAGGTATATTTTTCCTCGACTTCAATTCTCGACCTATTGTTTTGGCCCAACAAATCTCGGGCCTGGGCCCAGGTTTTACTTTATTTGCTTCGAATGACCCGGACCGGTGAGGCTCCAAGCAATCCCCGGCTTGCTATCCAATGCATCTTTTTAAGGCCCAGGCCCAAAAAGGGCCCAGAAGAAGCCCGGAACACCGGCCCAGGAACCGAAATCATTAGATGATTAATAATAAAATAAAATAGGTTATAAAAAATATAATAAATACCAGAGGAGGCACGTTGTTACCATCGCATTAATTTTTAGACAATTATGTGAGCTTTGGGCCCCACATGACTGGGAAATGGTCGTAGTCTAATCTGTTTCTTAACTTTTAATTATCCGCAGCTCAGCCAAGCGAGCTGCTCTACCACCCTGTAGATGTGGACCCTGACCTCGAGCGGCCTGAAGAGCTCGAAGACCAGGACGTCGTCGCTCTCGAGGATGTGGGCGCGGGCGAACTTCCCCCAGCCACCGCTGAATCCGCCACGGCTTTCGTAGTGAACGTACGCGACATTCCACGTCGCCTCCTTGGAGGGGCCCTGAAGCTACATCGTCCTGTTAGCCCTCGGGAGATGGTCCGTCAGCGAGCTTGGGAGGCCCTGCACGCACCCAACCGAAGAAGAGCCCGCCATTGAGCATCTGGCAAGAACTCGTGGAGGAGAAGTCTTGCGGAGAATTCAAAGACTCGGATGACACAATGCCTATATCGCACGCATGATACTTCTTATGGCGAAAGAACCCCGCCCAAGCTAATTCAATCTTCCATGAAAGGGATGATGATTCACAAGATGAAATCAGACTGAAAACACCCAAGAACCTGATCATCAGAAGGGAAGAAAACAAGAAGAATGGTCAGTTGCAGGGAAAGAGAATTCACCATGTAGTAGCCATGATATACATTGGAATCCCGCATCACAGAGATGCCAAAGGGATGCTTCGACCGGAAAGACAAGGCCAATTCTAGGGGTCTTGCCTTCTCCTCTTCGGCTATCCTCCTCCTCCTACGTGGGATTACAGACCCCAGGCGCGACTTGATCCTCACTGGGAACGTCAAACGGTCAGATTATTTAGATCTGAAAAATCCTTACAAAGGATATGAAAGCCCACTCCTTACCTTCGAGATGGAGCTCATCATCATCGTCCATGCTGGAGCTGCCCGGACTGGCCGGATGCTCACAGGTGGATCGCTTCTTCGCGCTCCTACCCTTCTCATCTGTTGATCGCTCACAGGTGCTGCTCTCCTTCCGACCAATCTTTCTCAGCCTCGAGCCTCTGGCACGTGGATTGCTTGCGTCTGCAGGTAATCCAAATTGCACATTAAGCGCAGATCGGGCAGCTGCGACCTTGAGAGAATTGCATTCCGTTCTAGGGCAGAAATTGCTGTGGTCAGAGAGCAAGCGGCAACGGACCTTCGTCACTCTGGGGCTCTTCCTTCACCACGTAGGCGACTACTTCCTTCCCTGAGCGGCGCCGCCTCTTGTGAGACTCCCCAATAATTACCACTTCGGGGAATGGCGTCACGTGGAAGGCCTCCTTCTCGCAGCCCGTCGGATCGAAGACCACAACGATGAAATGCGGGCCGCCGCCATATTTGAAGACCAGGAAATCGCCGGTCTTGAGGTCGTGGTCGGAGACGAACTCCTCCCAGCCATTCTGGAAAAAAACGCCGCCGCCTTCCTCCCTGACCAAGTCTACGCTCCATGAGCTCCCGCGGGGCCGTCTCAGACAGATGCGGCGATTTATGTTGGGCTCAATGTGCTTGCAGAAGTCAGGAGGGATCGCCTACGAGTTGCAAAGATGGGATAATCATCAAGAGATCAACAACCTGCGAAACTGGGTCTCTTCGCATCTGGGAGGAGGGGTGGGGGAGAGAGGACGTACCAGTCGCTTGGAGCTGCAGTCGGAGATGAAGACCTTGAAGAAGTGGGGCCGCCTCTCTTTTGCGGCAGCACTCGGGCGTGCCATCGCTGCCGCGGTGGGAGGCGGAAGAGGAAGGATGAGGGCGAGGGCTGCCTGTGATCAAACGCCCCTTCTCTGGGATAAACCCTCTTCCCATCTACCCCTTTGCGCTCTTCTAGCAGTGCAGTGACGCCACTGCTGTCTCCCCCCGCTCGTACCTCGATCTTGGGGCTGCGGATGAGGGACCAGAGGCGCCTCCCATCCTCAGCTGCAGCAGAGAGGTGATGAGGCCCATCATAGTGACGGAAATGACGGCACGGCAGACTGATATCCCGCCGCCGGCCGCGCATCAGAGGAGGGGCACATAGGGCCAGCATTTTCTTTATATCATCGTTTATCTTCTCTCGGGAATTGGCTTCCCTGTGAACCGTCCGATGGCAACTGAACGGGTGTGGTGTTCAAGGCCTACTGATGACCGTTGGCAGACCGACGGCGGGAAGGTTTGACTTGAGGGAGAAGACCCTCTTGAGGATTGTAGACCGACCCATTAACTTTCGCGGTCCGATGGGAACTGAACGGCACTGGTGTTTATCTGCGCTCTGAAACTATCTGACCGCCAAACCTTCGGCGTCGCGTATCTTGGTGGAACTCGTTGGTACCCGCGTTGCTGAGAAAGAAGCTCAGGGGACTGAAAAGGGCGGATGAAGGATACGTTCGTTGAAGATTGGCCGGGATAACAGGTAGCTGCTGGGGATCGTCCGAACAGGTGTGGACTCGGGGCTAGATGGACGACGATGGAGTAGCGTCGCCTGAGCTTCCGGAGTGGCTGCCGGACGGCTGGATCATGAAGCCTGTAAGTCGCAGGGACGGAAGTGTTGAACGGGTAAACCCATAACTTATCGTCTGGGGGAGGTATCCGCAATCTGTCTCCGTCTTCTTATTCTCTATGCTTCCGTGTCCTTAACTCTGACGAGGAGAGAGCTGTGGCCCTCCCCACAGGAATCTCTAGGTATTTTATTTTTGCGCCTTTCGCTGTTGGTTTCCAGTTCCGGAAATACGAAGAAATTTAAATAGGGAGGGGAAATGGGGAGAAGCACTGTCTTTGTTCCAATGCTTACACAGCAAGCAGTCGATGGTATCGCTCTGTCCTGTCCATCTTGAATCCTAGTTGAGTCATACGCTAATCTTGTGACATAGTGTTGAAAACGCGTCTACTTTCATCGAATTCCAAGTGCCAAGGAACGCCATTTTTTTATCTTCGTGTGGTTCCACCCAACGTTGGATATCACTTGACTTTTCCAGAATCATTCGTTCAAATCCGCATATAATTCTTTACTTACACAGGCGAACTCGAAACATCTACATATGGAGAACATGAAACATGGCTGACAAGCGAGAACTATGCACTTGGAAGCTTCTTTTCCAAGAGTAGAAACGGCAGATGAGGATGAGGATTGAAGAACTTATCCTTAGTTAGGAGTAACCTATGATCTGATAACAGTCTCATTTCCGATTATACACTTCAGTCCATTTTGCACTGTTTACCACACCTAGGGTTTCCGACTGTACACTTGAGTGTTAAGTTTGTACACAAGTGTACACATACTTGAGCCAGTTGTGTAGCAAGATTAATTGATAAGTTGGCATCTAACTTCCACTTGCATCACCACTTTTCACCAAACAAAATGCATAGAACATCAAATATGTGGTCAATTTTATCAGTGTATTCCATGAATGCCTGATATTTTATTTTTCTTCTTGAATCTTGGAAATAATGATGCTAAATATCATCTCTTTATTTTCAGTCTTATGTGTCTCCAGTGTCCGGACGCACCTTCAGATCTAGAGATGAGGTTTTGCACTATCTTGACTTTGAAAGTTCTGACGCCGTTGAGGCTGTAAAACCATCTCTGAGGAAGTTAAACGCAGTGTAAGCCTTTCGTTTCTTGATGCTCTCTCTATTTTATGTTCTCTTTTAGATGAAGTTCATAACTTTAATTTATTATTTATTTATCAATTTAGTAAGCAGTGGGAAATCAGATCTCACCAATATGGCTGCCTTCTGGATGGATTTTAGAAATCAAAACCCACAAGAGTGGTGCAAAAGCTGGAACAAAATACAAACTGTTGTGACTTTATGGTGGTCCACGTGACCCACATTCATTTTATGTTTTTTTGTTATTTTCATGAAACTTATGGCTAAATGTCTTTTTGGCTATTGTTAGTGGTTATGGGTGTAAACGCAATCACAAGACCTTAGCAAACTTCTTAACAATTTACACAAATTTTATCTGCCCAGCTTTAAGCGCCTCTGTTAAGTTTTAGTCAATTTTTCAATACTTAAGGCTGGTAGATTTTTTCTTCTTGAACATGCAGTAATCTCTCTCATTTAGAAATTTTCCTTTGCCAGAATGGATGAATCCTTCTTGATTTTATTTTCATTTGGATGTTGAGCTGCCTACTGCATCTATGAACTGCTTGTGTATGGCTCACTCCTTGTTTGTCATTGATTTCAATGACTGCAACGTTTTTGGCTGCCTTTTTGATTTTCGCAATAACTTTTTTGATCCACCTTCTCATCAAGTTCTCGAGCTTCTGAATCAGATTTTTTCGGACTTCTGTTCCCTATGCTTGATCCATACGGTTCTTAAAAAGCATTCAACATTTGATTATCTCTCATTTCTGAAACTTTCACGTTGTCTTACAGCTTTTCTAGCTGCTAATTGTAGAGTTTTATTTACCAAATAAGAATAAAATGATGTTGAAGTATCCCATGAATGTATTCATGCTTATTCACATCTTCCTCTGTTTGAATTAGTGGGTGCTTTGTTACTTTGACTTGACTTCTTTGACGTTCATATCAAAAAAGAAGAAACCGCCTGGTGTCCAGCCTGAAGAGAAACACCTCTGCAAGTCTGCATCAGATCAGAAAAGCATCTCTGTTGATTTCAGAGATGATGTATGTCATTTTAGATCTCTTGCATCGATTTTGGTTACAGATTCTCTTATACATTCTTTATCACACTTCCACAGAGAGATTTTGTTGCCAATCCACAGTAAGATCTTCTGATTTCTTCAGTCTCTGCTTGATTCAGGCCATAGTGGAGACTTCTCCAGACGGACTGCCTTCTAGCTGTATCAAAGAAGTGAAGTATGGAGGGAATGCGTCGAAGCTTGGAAAAAATCCGGCATTCACTAATTTCACCTTTTCTTGATCACGTCTTTGTCCATCATGTTCAGGTTTGGCATCTATGGATAGTTTGATTGGCCATTTGTGCTGAGCTCTCTGGTTGCCAAAAATCTGTAGCATTTCTTCAACAGATAGAGCCATGATGCAAATGCCACTCAACTGGCTACTGCTCAACGGAGCAATCTCTTGCTCCTGCTTCTTGTGGGTTTTGAAATCACAGCTGAGTCATCCTCAAAAACGTTCAGCCCTTCTGCCATATAACTTTTGACTTACATTGCCATATTTTTCTTTGCTAGGGGCATTCCACCTTGATGACTTCTTTTTGCATGATAATTTCTCTATATAACATCACAGTTGGATCTGATTCGGAACAGTTGGAACAAGGGTTATCTCGAATTTATTGAAACTGACGATATCGGCCAAGATGCAGATAAATCCAAGAGGAAAAAAGTTTCGATTATAACTACTCCGTGGAAAGTGAGCCTACAGTATGTTCATGAATAATAATCCTGTCATTGTTTTAGACACTCTTTTTATCTTTTGGCTATCATCTGGGTCAATCCCGGAGAATCCAATCTGAATAAGTTGAGAAGCTGTTTTTTCCACTCCATACACTTTTTTATACAATCTAAGAGAAAAGAAGAAGCTTAGAATTCTGTTCACCTATTTTAGCTGCAATTTCATTTATGGGCAAGACCACTCCTTGGATCCTGCACGAGCCATGTCATTTCTCCAGGATTGCACATTTTAGCTTCTTTCATCCATCCACATCTGAAACATTTTGGTTTCCTTGGTCATTATCTCCTTACCCTTCCTCTCCTCCAGCCTCCTATTTCAGGAAAGTTGAATCCAGGGAGCACAGAGAAGCGGTGCCCATTTCAGGAAAAGCACAGAAATCACACAGAAGGACAGAAGAAGAGGATGACGTGGTGATTATGGAGAGCTTACCTACCCCACCTTCTGCCGAGGCCACACCTTGTAGTGAAGTCTTGAACCCTGCTCTAGCCAGGTGGACTTCATTTCTCTTTTTAAATAAATTCGTGGGCAATGGCCCAACTTCTGATCTCAGAAGGTTGGGGATCAAAAAGAAGTCACGAGGATGATCCAGATGGAGAACTCGCTCATTGCACCAGGTCTGGAGCCGTATCAGAGCAGCTGGTTCTTGTGACATGCGTGCATCAAAGTGGTTTGCTGGCCTGGAATTCAGCTTGCTCACCCTTCCTGCTGAGGCCACACCTCGTAGTAAAGTCTTGAGCCCTGCTCTAACCAGGTGAACTTCATTCCCTTTTTTAAATAAGTTCATAGTCAATGGCCCAACTTCTGTTCTCAGAAGATCGGGGATCAAAAAGAAGCCATGAGGATGATCTAGATAAAGGATCTAACTTTATGATCCCTCGTATCATGAGAACCACCCCTATAATCAAAAGGAAATCAAAACACACAAATTTTATTCCATGAAAGGGAGAATCACGAGCCACAAACACACATTCTCCACCAGTCCTCTTATAAGAACAGGTCAAGCAATTAGTGGGTAATGCCAATTTTGGCAGTTACTCACACATAGCTGCCCAATTGGCATGATCATGACTGTTATAACTCATGATAGTAGATGGTTGTGATTAAGACACGAGGAGAAAGAAGACGTTACAGAAATTCAAAATAAAGAAAAATAGTCATTGGAAATGAGCTGTCTGTGGTTGACAGATTGTCAAACACTCAAACTTCTTATTGATCTATTGAGATTAATTCCAACAATCTCCTCCTTAAGCTCGTGTTGGATCATCAATATCAATGACACTTGAAAGAGATCAAAAATGTGTGAATTTAATCCTTCCAAGTGACTTTGTTAGGATGTTGACTCGTTGTTCTTCTATTGTGACATGACAAACTTCAATATCACCGTTGTCAACATAGTTTCTCATGTAGTGGTAGCAAATCTTGATGTGTTTCGAGTGGATGTGATAAGCAGGGTTCTTTGTGAGTTCAATTGCTGAGATATTATTCACATAAATTCTTACAAGCTTGAGATATGCTCTAATTAATTCTTTGAGGAATTCTGACATCTACACACCTTGACAAGAAGCCAAAGTTAATGACACATATTCTACTTCGCATGAGGATAAAGTAACTATCCTCTATTTCTAAGAGGTCCAGGTTATCACATTGCTACCAAGGAAGAAGAGGAATCTTGAGGGACTTTTTCTTTCTTAAGTGTCTCCTCCATAGTCATTGTTATTATACCCTTTTAGTATAAAATTCTCTTCCCTTTTGTACTTCAAATCGAGATTAAGAGTGCCTTTAATATATCTTAGTACTCTTTTAGCACTCTTGAAATGTTCAGATGTTGGATTCTCCATAAAATGACTAAGAAATCTAACACAAAATAGCAGATCAGGTCTGGTGTGGGTAAGGTACCTTAACAAGCCCATTAAGCTTCTATAAGTGGTTGAGTCTAATTTAGTCTCTCCTTTGTTCTATTCAAACCTTGGTCAAACCTTGAGTGGAGATTGTGACATATTGCATTACTCTATATCATACTCCTTGAGGATTTTGAGCATAAGATCATTGAGACAAGTAGATCTTTCTTTTGATTTGACTTATCTAAAGTCCTATATAGGAGGATAGGAGTCCTAGGTCAGTCATTTTGAAGAGATTCTTCATTTTTTCTTTGAAATCTCTAATTTCTTCTACGGGGAATCCTATAATTAAGAGATTGTCAATGTAGATTTCAACATAGAGTTGAGAGTTTGCTTCATTCTTGTAGTAAACAATGAGTTCAAAATCACTTCTCAATAGTCTCAAAGTGTTTAAACTCTTGTCCACCTTCGAATACCATGCTCTAGGAGCTTGTTTAAGCCCATACAAAGCTTTATGATATTTGTATACTAAGTTCTCCTTGCCCTTGACTTCAACCCCTTTAGTTGTGACACAGATGTTCTCTTAAATTTCGCCATTCAAGAAGGTAGATTTGACATCCATATGGTGGACATTCCATCTAAATTGAGCCACCATTGACAAAAGAAGTCAAATGATTTCAAGTTTAGCAACTAGAGAGAAGACATTAGTGAAATCAAACTCATACCTCTAAACATACAGCTTTGCCACTAATCGAGCCTTGTGTTTGATGATTTCTCCATATGGGTTCCTCTTGGCTTTATAGATCCATTTAAGTCTAATAGGTTGACAATTGTGAGGTAGTGAGACCATGGACCATGTATGACTATTGTCAATTTGATTTAATTCTTCAAGCATAGTAGTCTTCCATACTTCAGAGGTAAACGTTTCATCAAGTGTCTTGGGTTTGTCTTCTTTAATGAAGTAGTACTCTTCTTCTTCATTGTCTTGTCAGGTTTCTGAGTACAATTGAGAGAGGCTTTTGAACTCTGAGTTATCTCTATGTGAGAGGAGGAGCTATGACTCCCAAAAGGATCATCATTCTCAATATTTGACTATCCTTGTCTAGAGTTGACTTGGTCAATGCTGAAACTAGAGGTGATGAGGGGATAAGTGAAGTCATTCTTTGACACTTCAGTGGACATTACCCAATCCAAGCTTTAGTTTTCTTCAAAGACAACATCTTTGATGATGTGAATGGAGCATGTGACTAGATCATAGGCTCGACAGCCTTTAGTGTCCTTTTCATATCCTATGAATATCATAGGAGTACTCTGATCATCCAATTTCTTTAAGAAGCTCCAAAGTTTCTTCACACGAGTGACACATCCAAAAATTTTGAGAAAGTCAACTTGAGGTTTTTTTCCCATCCACACTTTGTATGGAGTCTTCCTATGAAGGCTCTTAGTGGGTGCTTGATTTAAGAGGTACACAACAGTGTTGACTACTTCACCTTACAATTCTTTTGGTAAATTCTTAGATTTCAACATGAATCTCACCATGTCCATGATTGAATGATTCCTTCTTTCAACAACTCCATTTTGCTGAGGAAAATAAGATTTGGTGAGTGGTCTTCTGATGCTGCTTTCATCATAGAAAATAAAGGGTGGAGAATTCTTTAGAGTTGAATTCTCCTCCTTGATTTGTTCTTAGACAAGTAATTTTGAGATTTCTTTCAACTTTTGGGAGTGATTTAAATTTCTTGAAGGCATCAAAGGCATTGGACTTCTTCTTAAGCATTGAGACCCACATCATGCAAGTGTAGTCATCTACTATGAGTAAAAAATATTTATTCGCACCCAAGGTCTGAGATTTGATCGGTCCACGAATATCCCAATGAAGGAGCTCCAATGGTCTAGAGGCTCTAAATGTGGATGTTGAAGGAAAAGATGTTCTAGCTTGCTTGGAATTTATATAGTCTTAGCATAATTCATAATTCTTGTCTATTTTTGGTAATCCTTTGACCATGTTTAGTGAATAGAGCAAGTTTAAATAAGAGAAGTTAAGATGACCATACCTCTTGTGCCACAACCATGAGGTGTCCTCCTTGACATGGTAGCATCCCTCAACTACATCAAGATGAAGAAGATATAATCGAGCTTCACTTCTCTTCACCCTTATTAGGAGCAACCCATTTTTGTTATGGACTGTTAGTATGCCATTGTGGAGAGCAATTTTACATGTTCATCGAGCCTCGTAAGGCTCAGGATATTTGTCTTTAGGCTTGGTGTGTAGAGCACATTGGTCAGGGTAACCTTGCTCCCACTTTTAGTGTTCAATAGGATTTTACCTTGGCCTTCAATGGGTATTCTCGAGTCATCTCCGAATTTCACTCTACCCTTGTAGGTTTGATCAAGATCAAAGTTAAGATTCTTTTCCCCTATCATGTGAGAAGTGGCGCATGTGTCAAGATACCACATCCCATTCTTATATTTAGTGTGAGAGACCCCTTGAAGAAGAACCTCAGTTTCTTCGATTACCATGAGTAGAGAGGATTCAGTGACTTGTTCTTCAGTGACATTTACCTTCTCAATGTCATTTTTCGAACTTTCCTTCTTGGGAAAGCGACACTCATTAGCATAGTGCCCTTTCTTCTGACAGTTGTAACAAGTGACAGTAGACTTATCTCTTAGCTTTTTGTCTTCGTCACTATCTTCAATTTTGAAAGTTGATCTTCCACATCTTCTACCGCGGCCTCTGCCTCTGCCTCTGCCATGGCCTCTCCCTTAGCCTCTAGACTGAGACCCATCAGACTCCTTGCCCATACCACGAGTGAGTATGACTTTCTCCTTTCCATCTACTACTTACAAGAAGGGTCGGCCATCTACTACTTTCCATTGTCAATAGCTTGAGGCCCCAACCCAATGTCTTCACAGTGTTTCACATGATGCACAACTGCTCCCATGTCAGCACAACTCTTAGCCTAGCAATCGTATAAAGACAACGCGCCGAAGCTCCGTTCAATGGATGACACCGTTTCTCGTGTTAGAAGAGGACCCACACTTTCAGGCCGCCGAAGCCCTGCGCCACAGAGTCGAAGGTGGTCCGAAAGCTGGTCACCAGCAAGTCTGTAAGTCCGAGCAGGTGCATCTCCACCCACACCTTCATCTTTTACATCTGATCACTCATCTATTGGGTGTTCTTCCAGACTCACTGGTGGATGCTGATGACCGCACCACCATCTGTCACGTTCTTCTATCCTCAGGAGGCTCTCAAAGTATCTGGTGCTCAGGAGGGCCATGCAGAGCTCATTCTCATAAGCTTTTCCCAAGGCCAATGTAGAGCTCGTTCTCTATTGCCGCTGATGGACCGTGGCCCAATTCACCAATCTCTGTTTGCCTTCATTGGTTTGATTTTCTGTTCCAGTTTAGAAGAAATTGCTTAAATTTTAAATTTACAAGGACGTTCAAAATATTTTTTCGAAATATTTTTAAATTAAAAATAATATTTTTTGAGAAATATTTGAAAAACATTCTTATGTACATATTAGTTTGCGCTAATATTGTTCATGATTTGTTAGCTTGTTCCATTTAATTCAAAAATATAACTCTGGGCTGCACCGTTATATGGAAAATCTGGGGTTGATGCCGAACAATTCATCAATTTGATTCAAGACTTTAGGAACGAACATGTAAAGATCGTCTTCGTCATGGCCAATCTCAGCGTCCACCTACTTGGTCCTTGGGCTTCCATTGCTCTGGACCCAGGCCAAGAGGCAAAAATCAAAACAAGGTCCACCTTGACGTTTCTTCTCTTCGACAAAGGAAAGTTCTCCCGCTGAGTTCATCCCAGATGAGGTCCTTCGATCATCCATCAACACCATCTCATGATGTGATATTCTTTATCTTCTTCTTCTTCCTCTTCTTCTTCAGTCCTTTTCCTCCCTGCGTGGCTGCGATGTGAGGGAGATGCTTCACTTTCACTTAAACCCCGTGGCATTTCTCCCTATGCCCACAGTCTTCAACTACCGGACCCGTTGAATGGCAGATTGAGATGGAAGAATCGGGGCATTTAATAAAATGTGTAAACATCGATGTTCGAAGTCAACTACCGGGGAAGGCCTTGACTCGAGGGGAAGATCTGAAGAATGGTCAACGCGGATCTTGGTGGGGCGTCACATTAATCCCCAACAGCCCTGCTGCTGTCAAAGGTCCTCATCATTTGAGGGATCTAGAGACTATTGAGAAAGTCAAATATCCTGACAATCTCGGACTGTTACAATCTTGAGTTGGAGTCAAGCTGATGTCGCACATCAGCCGCAAATGGAGCTGGTAACCGAAAGAACCAGCAACCCAAGAAGAACCAATGAGAAGCTCCTTGCAGAAGCCTCTCAAGTCAACGCAGCTAGGGCATGGAGAAAAGGGAAAGGTGCAATGAGAGAGGGCCAGATCATCAATCCACTACAAGTGGCGCAGCCCAAATTTCTATTTTTCTTTTCATTTCATACACCGGCTCCCAACCTGACCCTTGCCTGCCGCAACCAAACTTAGTCCAACGCATACACAGATGTAGCGACGTATATACACTACAGCTAGAGAGAGAGAGAGAGAGAGAGAGAGAGAGAGAGAGAGAGAGAGAGAGAGAGAGAGAGAGAGAGAGAGAGAGACAGACAGACAGACAGACAGACAGACAGACAGACAGACAGACAGAAAGACAGACAAAAGGCAGAGATGGCAGTTCACCGGCAGTAGGCACAAGAGTTGAAGCTCTCATCTAACCACGGTCTAAATGATCCATCGTGGCACAGATTCTGGGAAGCGTTTTGAGGAAGACGTTTAGGAACAACCCTTAGAACTCGCCCAGAAATCCACCAAGATACTAAAGAATCCAAGCAACCATACAACGGCAGAAGAGGCAAAATAAATGAAAGCATCAAAGGAAAAGTATGGGAGAAAACCCGGTACCTTTAACCAGAAAAAAAAGCCCCGGAGTTGCTTGAAACGTTGGACGTCGCAGCAAGCTGTCGTAATCTGGTTGGCAAAATCTAGGAATTTAAAGAAAAATACGTGCTATTAAGAAAACTAATTAGTTATTAAGAGCAATGTGCCCAAAGGGTTGAACCAGCAGAATGCGGAAGAAAATTATTTCTGGGTTATGAAAGGGTGTAATGGGTTGACTATGCAGATTATGCAGAGCATGTGTTGACTATCATTGGGGCAAGGTTATGAGAGTTTAACAATGATATTTTTCATAATCTTTTAGCATAAATAATTTTAATTGGAAAAAATATCCAAGCATCATCATCAGAAAATTTAAAACCGACTCCCATTGCTAGACTGTGGGCGCCCCCTGACATCGACATGGGGGATTGAATATATCTCTATGGTAGATCAATGCGGATCACACATGATTCAGCATGGCCTGGGCTTTAGAATTTAGAGTTTTTCTTTCAGCTCGCCAAAACATACCTGAGTTAGCAGTAAGCCCCAATAGACCTCAAACTACCACTCAGCTCTTATTATTTAGTCTCTCTCTCTCTCTCTCTCTCTCTCTCTCTCTCTCTCTGTACATCTATGCAGTCTATGCATCTATCTATCTCCTGTTTTAGCTCCCATCCTGAGCCAGCCTTCACCCTCTCATTGAAGACACCACGGCTGAAGCCATCATTTTTGCCTCACTCCCCCCATCCTCTCTCCCTCCCTGACTGAGAGAGAATACTTTTCTTTCTCAGATTATTGAAAGAAAAACTAAATGGCAGCAGAATATTCCAATGATATCCCTTGACCGTGACAGGATTTTAAGCTCAGACAGGAGTGAAAATACTCTTTACAATGTTACAAGGATTTATTCTTAGATAATTTTAATAGCATTGTTATAATTTTATAACTTAAAAAACCACTGGACATTGGTTTTATTTTGAACTAAAACGTGCCATCTGTAATGATACAAATGTATGTTAATTTAATTATTGGACATTTGAACCTCATTCATTAGTTTGAAATGAAACTTATTTTGGGATTTTTATAGGTCAAGAGTATTTAAATTTTTTTTAAAATCCTATTACTAGATGTGTGCCAGATTCCGCATAAGGGACAACCAGGATTTCCAGGGATTAGCCTAGTTGATTGGCACCGATTGGTTTTAGATGCATTGACCCTGTAATTATAAACTGATAACCACAACTTATCACCTTTGTTTAAGGAATGACTTACAAATTTTGTACCCATTTTCAGTAACTTCTTCTGTGGTAGGCAAGCCTACTATCATTTCCATCTAAGAGGGCTCCACTAAGTGGTCGTCCTTTCTTGGTTAGCAGGGGTCTGAGAGGTAGTTCCCCTCTATGTGTTAACATGTAATAACTACAAAACTTATAATTGTCTTAAATGAATAGGTGGATAAATAACTAAAAAAATAATCTAACCGATTATTCAATAGATAAAAGACCTCGCAAAAAAATCTGATCATTTGGCATAAATAAAATATTAAACGAAAAATCCAGCATCTTAAAATAGAAGAAATACTCAATGCTGTACTTTTAAAATTGCACAATTGTTAATTTCGAAATATAGTTCAGTTGTGCATATAATAATTCAAGGAAGCATCCAATGAATAAGACTGATGAAACAAGGGTTGCCCATATAATCTTGATCTTTAAAATTGAATCTTTAGCATGCTGAACCATTCAATAGAAAATGCCCCTGTGGATTAAGTGGTGTCTGATAGCATGATACTAGTATCTAAAACTATTTATAGAAGATAACATGGAATACATCTCAAACTAAAAAGTGTGGCATGTGTACATGAACTTACCTGGGAGATGATCGAAATATGATTTTCCCATTTCTTTTGTTTCATATGTCTTTATAGCTCCACGTAACTGTTTATCTCTCTTGATTGGTTTAGAAGTACTTACTTCATTAAAAAGATGTTCAAAGTCGTCCCGATCAAATGGTTTACCACTAATAGTTTCAAGTCTTTTTCTAAAGTAAGATTTCTTACTGCATCTGCGATTTTCACTGCGTGCTTCATTATCCTCAAACACAGAAGCCTAAAACCACAGAATAGTTTAGCAAAGAGAACAAATAACGTTGATCTACCTGAAACCAATCAATTAAAAAGGTACTTACGAATGAATCATAAAATATGGAAGGTTTACACTTCAATTCCGAATCTTTGGCGGGAATAGGAGTTGCCTCAGTTGTGATTGACGTTGTTGGGGTTTCAATTTGTTCATCATACTTGACGGCAATACCATTGTCCAATTTGAGGAGCATTGAGCCACCCCTCACCTGGACATGACGTAGGAATACCTCATAACAAGGATCAATAGTGGTTTTTTTCAGCTTAAGATGCTTTAGTATACCTCTCCCAGACAGTCTATATGTCGCTTTCTCTTTGCATACAGAATCCCTTGGGTAAGTTTCTGGATCACCATGCATTTCGTCACTGTCATCACTACAAGAATCTTCCTCTTGTTCATATTTGACAAAATTAGGAGACATTTCAAAGACATATGACCTGCCATCTTCCTTAAGATGATCCAAAAATATTCTGTATGCACGATCAATATCAGACTCGCAATTGTTATCCTCTCCTTCGGTCATCAATGACTCTCTAGATTCATCCGCATTTAAGGTGCGCCTCATCATAAAAATAAATAAATTTACCTGTACAGAAATAGTGGATGAAGAGCTGGTCAAATATATATCGGCCTTTGTCTAGCAACCTGAACATAATTTGAACACGTCAGAACTGAGATAGAGTATACAGACCTATAACTAGCTGATTAAAGATTATGTCATAACTGCATTTTAAGTTCACAAAGAATATCTAGGGGTGTCGGACAGTGTTGTTTCACCGAATATCAAAGAACTTATTTTCTCTCTTAACAGGGTTAACTTTCTTTCCAGATCCTCAAAGAGAAAAACCTATCGCTCATACCTTTTTGTGAGTACTCTTCCCAACGCAGCATGATGATATTTGATCTTGGAGTCAAGAAACTATTTAGCAGCATTCATCAAAAGTACAAGGGAGAGTCATAAGAAACGAGAGATTGGAGCTACCACGAAGCGAATGGCGATGATAAACGGGACATGGAGGGTAGGGAGGAGGCGATGATTCACACCGTACGAACTGACGCTAGTTCCCTTGCCCTTCAAGGGCATTCCATTAGAGCGCTCGGCGGGATACCCTCCAAGAGATGGCGCTTCACAGCGCGGTGAAATCCTCCCGACGAGGGCATCTGCAATGCCAAACGATCAATCACCTTCCTTTTTCTCTCCTCGGGAAAAGAAATGGCGGCAACTCTCTTCGTGATCAGCCACAGACATAAGAGGAGATAACTTTATAACCTTGTCAACCTTATGTTTTATAGAAACACTTTTTTCCATCAGCCTTGGGAAAAGATCAGACCGTTAAATGTTAATACTAATAAATTTTTCGATGAGTTTTTATGCGACAGAAAACAGTATTCATAAAGTCCATGGTCATCAGGCCCAGTGGGGCCCATTAATGACGAGCCCAAGCCCAACCCGGAGCTCATGCCCCACCCGGCGAGGAGCCCAAAAATTAAACCCTATGCTGAGAGGAAGAGGAGAGAGAAAAATTGTGTGTCGAGAGGGAGAGAAAGAGAGAGAGAGAGAAAGAAAGAGAGAGAATAGATCATCCTCTTGAGACTCTTCTTTCACACATCCGGCCGCAAATCTCCTGCCAAGGACGGATCCTCCTCTCTCTCGGACTACTCTTCTCAATCAAATCACCATCTTTTTGGCTCCGTTAAAATTTGCACCCTATATTTACCTCGATTTGTAAATTTATCCATCCACCGACCTTTCTGCATGCATACATGGTGCAATTGTTATTGCGTCCCTGGCTTCGCATCTCGAGGGTCGTTCTAAAGTTTTAGATACTTCAATGGGTATTTTCGTGTGCTTTTGCTTTATTTATGGTTTTCAGAAAATTCCCAGATCTCACCTCAAATCATCAGAGAGGCTGCCCGAAGATACCAGCGTACTGACTTTGGCCTTTAATCATTCGACGGCATCTGGACTAGCTTATTATTATTATTATTATTATTATTAATAAAAAAGTATCATTATTATTTACTGCTCATCTCCTGCTTGCTTCTCTATTTCCCATGTTTCCGTATTTATTTATCTCCCTTTAATGTATAGAGTCTTGATTTCAATTTTCATTTTTCTAGGGTTTTCTGGTCCCTAATTATTTAAGTTGGTCCTTTTAGTAATTTGGATTTCCACCTCAAACTTTAATTTCATTTAATAGTATCCCTCGATCATCTTCTGCTCCCTCGATCAACAGATTCTTTGGCATCAGCACTTACAAGCATACTGGAACAGCCTGACCTGCTGGGATCTTGAGCCAAGCTCTCGTGGGATAGAAGACGGGGGTTGATCAGATACTGCTGGTAGAAGTTGTGGGCGTCATGTGACAGGTGGATAGGTGTATAGGGAGAGGGGATCACGACAAGGTGATAATGAGATAGATTTGGAGCGGGACTGATTGATTGTGACAGCGAGTTGAGGGTAGAACTGTAGAGGGCAGAAGTAGAGAAGGGGGGTGATGGTGACAGACAACGACGATGGTTAACGGTGGAGGTGAAACTGTGGACAATGGTAGCGGGTAGCAGGAACAGCGAGAAGCGGGCTAGGCTGTGGCTAAGTTGACATGAAGGGACAGAAGGAAGGAGTAGCGGGAAAAGAGGAGGAAGGAAAGGAAAAACTCCAATCCGGGAGCAGTGGGGTCCTCATGACCAACCCAAGCCGAGGCAACGAGATCAAAGATCAAAACAAAAAAGGAACAACTCTCGTTCTCTAGTTCTATCTCCTCCTATGAGCCTCGTGACTCTCTTATAGTCTTTGCAAAACGTAAATTAAGCTAGAAATAAAGATAATTGTTCCCCTCGGTGCATTTATGGTGTCATTGTGGACGAGTGGTGTGCTGAGCCCCCTTCCAATGATGATGCCAAGTCACTACTGTTCTCCTCGATGTACTATTCCATCGGTAGATGGTTTTGTTGAGAGCGTTGATCTCGTGTAGTATCTTGACTCTTTCTTTTCTTTGCCTGCAGCTGCTAATTTGGCAAGAGGCGGTCCAATGCTGCATCAACTTCCCCTTGGCTGCGACGAGTATGATCCTTCCAATGAACAAGAAACCTCTAATTTTTTAATTAATATAAGATATTATTTGTCCATCTAACATATTTTTTTATTTGCTCTTGTCGCATAGGAGAATTGCCTGGTGGACAGCTGAGTATTGATTCACTCGTGACAGTTGGATTTGACTCAAATAACTCACTAGGAATATTCGTTGATCCATGATAAGGAAGAAGGTCTGAAATGTTAAAAATAAGTCTGATTTCTCAGTCAGCCGGAATGACTACAACTTAAGTATTTGATCCTACTCATTTAACAATTGTAAAAGGTCCTGCCCCTCTAGCATGTAGCTTCAAGACAGTCTCCACAAGAAACTGACCCAGTGTAATCTAACCTTAATGAGATCTCCTTTGTTAAATTGACCATAGTGTTCTAGATGTACAAAGCACTCGATAAAGATACAAAGAGAGCGACAGATTGGAGGCAAGTGCCTTGATGATGCACCATAGGCCTGCTGGCAATGGACTGAGAGAGAGAGTGAGAGAGAGAGAGAGAGAGAGAGAGAGAGAGAGAGAGGAGAGAGAGAGTGCGCAGGGTGAAGTCCCATGTGGTCGTAACCCACACCCGTTGGCAATAAAACCCTCCTAGTTGATAGAGAAGTGTTGCTCGACTACAACTAGTCTCTCTTTCTCTCTCTTTCCCTCTCTCTCTCTCTCTCTCTCTCTCTCTTTCTATCTAGCTCTCTCGCTTCTTATCGGCTGAAGGCAATTGCTGAATAAAGGTGCTTGCCCATAAAAGAGGTTCCATCTAAGTCTTGTTGAATTTGAAGGATCGAATATTAAAACAGATGGTGAATGATAAAATTTTATGAGAATAGATTAAAGTCATACCTAAATCCATAAAAGTGTAAGTACGAGGAGAGGTTTTTAGATCAACACAGGAGAGATGTCTAATGACTTACTCTAGAGAGATGGGATGCTTTAAATGTGACTCACGATGTGTGACCCAAGGACCATAACTTTCTATTTATAGACAAGAGGTGGTTAGTCTCTTGGGGTCTTTTTCTAATTTAGTTCGTCATAAAATTAGAATAAGACTTGCTCTCTACACATATTTAAAAAAGAGGATCTGCTGGTGAGCCAGCACTTGGCAGCAAACTACTCAAGTAGGTGGACCCAAACCAAGGGAACCACGAGCTGGTGCTCAATACCCACAGACATGTGTACTCTTCCATGTCACCAAGTGGGGACCCGTGCATGGTCAAGGTATGATCACGTCATACTTGCTTATGTGGGGGCAGGCCACTTGGTTTAGCCTTCTCCCTATGTGATCCTGCCCATTTTTTTTATATGAAAAGTAAGTCGTAATGATGGGAGCACATATACTTATATTTATGTGAAATTTGCAAGAAAAAATGATGTGGGACTAAACTTTTACAGACCGGTGGTCTGGAGACTTTTGATTTGGTGATCGCTAGCCCAAATCATTGGTTCCGTGGGTATGGCTTTGGCGAGAGCTGGTCCAGCCAAGCACTAGTTGACTGTTGACCTACTTGTATGCAGGTGACCTAGGTTCCAATCATGTATCTTTCGCAAATTAATTTGATAGATTAATGGGCAGATGACGTTATGAGATGGTGGGAAATGACCAAAAAACCCTGAAATTGATTAGAAAATCCAAGAAAATGTGGGAAATGCTCAAAAAATTGGAAATTGTTTAGAAAAATGCCATGAAAAATTAAGAAAAATTAGGAAAAATCAGAAGTAAACAAATGATGATCTGAAAATCGTGATTTCTTTGTGGATACTTATCTGATTGATCTCAAATTTGAAATGAAGCTCCGTCACTTATTATGAATGATTTCATATACGAAAAATGCCATTTTTAATAGGAATAAAAACCAAGCATGGGAGTCAAAGACTAAAGATGGGAAATAAAGGAAAATGGTTAAATCAAAAAATAAATAAGAGATTTTTGGTTCTAGGAAAGGAGAAAAGAGGTTCCTTACTTTTCTAGGGGGGAAGAGGGATGGTTTTTGGGGGGCAAGGGGATCCAACAGAGGGAACAAGGCTGGAGAATAAGAGAACGAGGAGGAATATCAAGGGAATTAGCTAGCTGCAATCAATAGAGTTCTTTACACTTTTAGTTTTAATTATTGTCTCATTTCATTTCTCTTTTTAGTCTTTAGGTGATAGACATTGATTAGAAATACTTTGTTTTTGAATTTATTTAATTTAAGTACTTATTTATTCTCATTTTATTATGTGATAGACAAGGAAAAAAGAGTTTTAGATTTTATTCGTAGTGTTCATCATTACAAATTAATTAAAATTATGATTTTGATTACATATAATCTCTTTTCTCATCTTTAAGTGACAAAATAGGAAATGGAAAGATTTTTATTTGAGGTTATAAGATTTAATTTATATTTTATCTTTCAATTAGAAACTTTCTTCATTCTAAAGGACTTTGTTGTGTGACGAACAATATAGTCTGGTTATAATTTTAGAATTTATTTTGGATCATGAATTCAA